CAGGGTGCACCGAACATGCTGTGGGGTCAATGGAATTACCTCAGCTCAACGCACTGTACGAGCGTGCATTTGCATCCCTTTGCCAACAAGTATTTGGCGAACACCACCCGGCACAACTTGCTAAACGACGTGTCACTGAAATGAGCTACCATACTATGTACGATCTTTTAGGCAAACAATAAGGTCATATAAATACTTCTACTGGCTTTGCATCGATTTTTGAATCACATTACTGGCTTTACAACGATTTTTGCATCACTCCATGATCATGTTGACATTGAGTTATTTATTCAATCCTTACGATCGTTGTACTGCAGTGTTGGTCAGCGTTTGAATCGAATGCTCGATGCTTGATTCTATACAGAAAGTAATAATGAGAGATTTGCATAGTCCGCCAAAGTTACAATCTCCATGAACGGTCACCAATCAAGCTACAACTTACAGTACAGCTCTTGCTGCCCAGCGACAAATCAATCTGGATGCTGGGCTCACATGTTAGCAATGCTGTATAGCTTTATTGATTTACCTCAATGGAATAGATAGACTTTGTTATAGGAGGTACCCGGCACGTCGAGCGACAATCGTGGCAGCTCTCATATCGGTCTTGTGTGCCTTCTGGGCCTTGTAGTGAGCGGATTGACAGATTAAACTACTGAAGGAAGTGAATGTTAGTAACTGCGCGTAGTATGTCAACGTACCTCGGTGATCAACGACCTTGCTCGCCGTCCCGATCCCAACTCGGCCCGCCGCGTCGTTGTCTTGTTGGTCCTTGTGGGCCCTGCTGCTTCATGGAATTGCTCTAGACCATGTGTGTTAACATTGTGGTTAGTGTAGATGCATCAGGTAGGAGTGTCGATCGCGGAATGTACCTTGGTTCACGTTGGTCCGGCATGACAGCGGTCAATGCTTGTTCTTGAATGCTTGGTCGATTTTCACATAAATGATACTACTAGTACTACTAGTAGTAGGTGTGTTTCGTAGTTTGTTTCGTAAATACCCAGATAAAGGGAAGTAGTATGTATAACCATCCAGCTGGCCAAATTGAGGTTATATTATTTAACGTATATTTAATGTAGTTACTATTATTAATAATAGTACTAACTTACAGTTAGTACTGTAAACCAAAAAACGAAATACTTGAAGTACGGTAGTAAGTTAACTCTTTGTGGCCCGATTAGTGATATAACGCATGAAATCCCAATTTCATGCGTTTTATCACTTTCTCAGTATCCATCCCTATTGCCAAATTCAATTCGCCCATGCAAAATACAGCTTGGTTAAATATCTATTTCTTGATCAATTATTCACCAAATATAAATCGGCGACATTGATTTTCTTCACGACTCTCGATTTGCTAAAATTTTGAGAAGTGAAAACGAACATAACGTTAGCAGCAAGAACATTTTGTGAAGAGTTGGGTACTTCGAAGTAGTTTATTGGTGACGTGCCCCAAAGTACAGTATTTCATACCTGGTACAGGTATGAAATGCAGGCAGGTTCACTTTTGGAGTACGATATCGTGATACCGTTACTAATCAATAGTATGAATAAGAATGGTACTAACAGTAAGTCGATCAGTGATGGGAAGCCCGAAGTGTGATAAAAATGTACAAATAGGTCCCATTATCTATGGAACTACTGTAGTCTTGTACTTTAGGATGAGTTTGCCCATATGAGCTCTTGAAAATTGAAGTGAGAAGCTCTCTCTGCCTCTGCAGATTATGCTCTTCTGTATGTAGGTCCATCAAATATCTTTTTCCAGGGGGTCCATATAAATCGACGAAAACCACGAAAACCAGTTCAAAATCCGAATTCGGGTAGGGGGACCCACGGATGACCATGAACACAAGGTGTGTAACATGTGGGATCGTGTGTAAGCCGAGCTTTTACCCTTCCTGACCGATGCACTTCCATTCTCGTGTCGTTTGTGTACGATGAATACTAACACGGGTGTGACGCCAGCGGCTCCGAGCCAAGCAATCACGACATTTGAGGAACTTCGGCTCACGGATGTGGCCATGATCGACGAAAAGGAAGATCTGTCTATGCTTCGCCGTACGTTGCTGAAGAAACGCAAACTTGTCTTGGGCGCGGGTGTGCTGCTCGTTGTCGTTGTGACGGGCATTGTTGCCATCGTGTCGTCGGCTACCACCGAATCGGCCAGCACTGGGGAAGCCCTCCTGTCGGTATGTCATCTCACATCGAAATCACTCCTTGATCTCACTTCATTGCGCAGACCACGGTCAGTCCAACCACGGCCAGCCCAACCACGGCCAGCCCAACCACGGCCAGTCCAGCCGCGGACGCCCCGATCCTCGAAGAAGTTGGCGTTGGTTCCATCGCCAACAGCGTCGAATCCACGTACTCGTCGAATGCTGCAACGAACACCACCAGACCGGAGAGCGTGACAACCCCCGCCGCCCCAACCACCACGACCTCGACCACCACCAATGCCACCACCACTCTGGAAGCGACGACGACGACGTCTGAACGTACGACGACGTCTGCACCCACGACCCCCGCGCCGACGCCTGCACCCACAGAGAAACTCTTGCCGTTCACCGACACCAAGTTTGACTGGGCCAACTTTGCAAGCTGGGAAGCCGACACGAGCGCCGACTGCCCGTGGGCCAAGGGCGGGTTCAAAGGGTCATCGATCGAAGTGTCTAGCTTCGGTCGTCCATTCAAGGAGTCGCCCGTGATCCGCACCAAGAAGGGGTGGAGCGGCGAGAAGGTGCTGCACATCGAGTGGACGTCCAACCCTGGGTCGGACACCAACATCTGGCTGCTACCGACGTCGCTGGTTAACCAGTTCGGCGACCTGCGGTGGCCCAACTGCGGCGAGTACGATATCTTTGAAATGTTCAACGGGGACGCCGCTATCGGGAACAGTGGCACAATAAGTTACTTTGGCAGGGGGCTCACCGACTTTGGCCAGTCCACGACCCACATCGCATCGAAAGACTGCTACGCGGCCGAGACCGTCCACAAGCCCATGGTCGCACCGAATGGCGCCCAGTACAGTGTCGCATATGGCCGCAAAACGTCCATGACGATTATCTTTGGCTCGGACTCGAGGGGTAAGTTCATCCAGCAAGCCCAAGACGCGACGCTCAAAGCAGGTCCGAACTCGACCTACGACGTCGTGCTGGACGACGCCACTGTCACAGACAAGATCTACAACAACGCCCAGTCGTACTGGGGGACGACCCCCACGGGCGGATGCGCCGCGGGGTTCAATCCGGACTCGGGGTATCCGTTCTGGGGCGAGTTTCGCCTGATCTTGCAAGAGCAATACCAAGGCAGCTTTGTCGTGAGCAACTTTCAAGTACTCACCAAGACCCCGTGAGAATGGCGAGTAGATGTGTCAATACATACGAACGATATAGTTACTACGAGTGCGTAATAGTTAGTACACATGAGTCAAACCAGTGATAAATCTGGAAATGAATGCAACTTTGGTTTTTACGTTTCTCCCTTGTATTTGGCCGCGTCATAAGCGGAAATTGTATACTAGTATGTCACCTACAAACTACCAACTTTTCACAATTTTTTTCTATATTTCGTTTTCCTTTATCAATATTTTAGAATCGAGAGATCGAAACGTAGTGAAGAATTCGGCGTGTCAGATTTAAATTTGGTGAAGAATTGGCCAAGAAATACTTCGAAGGAGACATTTACAGTTAACCAAGTGGTGTATTTTGCATGGGTGATATTTGGCCAGCTGGAAGGTTATAGATTAATTGAGTTTGGATTATCATTTTTAAGACATTCCTCCGCGAGGGCCTACACTAGAACCACATGTTATGGAACCGCTTCGCCAATTGTAACGCGCCTGCTCGACCAGGGGCGGTGTGTAATCTTCGGTTTTTACTTCGCTCAACGCTTCATACCTCGTGCTTCGACCGATCTTCTTCGAAGTTCGGCTTCGTCCCTTGTTATCCGGATTCCCCAGGGGAGGGACGGATAAATCCTTGCGGAAATAATCCGGGGATCGAACCCACGACCTTTGAGTTAAGAAACCGATGCTCTACCACCTGAGCTATTCCCCCCCTTGGAAGGTTATAGATGACGCGCACCATGCCGCCAAAATAACAGTATTCTCTCAATATAAATGCACGATATTGTCCAATCAAAGGTGCGACTCATGGATGCGACGTAACGTTAACTATTAATAGCGTTAATATAAGGTGATTTATGTGTAATTCCCAGCGAGCGTGTTTATTCGTGGCAGAAAATGGCCAATCACAATCACAATGATAAAGGTTGGACAAAATTACGATTATGTTCAAATATTAACAACGTGATCGAATTTTCTAACAGTAAATTGCATTACTTCTACACGTTTATCTATATTATAATTAAGAGGTTCAGATGATTTCATTCAAAGGCACGTACGTATACTCCTACTTTGTGGATGCGACGTAACGTTTACTGTAATAGCGTTGAATTCCCTGCAAGCGCGTGTTTATTCCTGGCAGAAGATGGCCAATCACAGTCATCCAATGGTAAAGATTGGTCAAAATTATGTACTCTCGTTTCAAATACTTGTACTGGTAACGCTATCTAATTTTCTAACAGTAAATTGCAATCCAGTATTATAATTAAGCGGTTTACCAGGTATGATGATTTAGAAATACCGGTAACTTACATCAATCAAATTGTGCCATGACGTTACCAGAGATACAGTACAATGGTGGAGACTACATGAAGTTATAACGCTTATCACGACCTTGCGAATGCACGTTGCCTCATCGTCGTAGCATGAATGGGGTTGGACTCAGAAACTTGGCCAAGATTACATGAATCACCTTGTGCTGCGTCTCGTCGAAGTTCGAAGCATGGGGACGATGCGACACCACACATTTGAAATCGCAAATGCTGCGCGGCCAAACTATGTATCTGGTTGTGCGTCTTCATAACGAAATCCAATGACGCCCGGCCATTCGGAAATCCCGACGCCACACAATGACAAGGACGACGAGTCTTTTCTGACCGTGACAATCCGAAAACAGCGCAAGTGGCTCATCTTGGCTGCGTCGGGGTTGGTGATCGTGGCTGTTGTTGCCACAGTCGCGTCGACCTCTAGTGCCACCGACGAGACCTCACAGTCTGCTGCGATTAGTCAGGTAGAGGAGCGTTCATTTCACGTCCCCCACCTCTGACGCTTTCGTGTGTACTAGCCGCCAACCGCTGCGCCTGCTTCGCCTAGCACCGCGCCAACCACTGCGCCTGCTTCGCCTAGTCACGCGCCAACCACGAGCCCATGGAGCCCCGTGGTGGGTGGTGACGACGGAAATGCTACCGTATATCAAAACAACAGTGTCGGCACCACATCCAACACCACTTTGCACCACGAAGTCATCACATCCAAGCCTGTTGGTACGTGCGCTACACTACATACGTAGCGATTCGACCACCGATGACATGTGAACGTAGCGGAAGGTGCTGCATTCAACCACTCCACCACTACTACAACGACTAGCCCTCCTGAAAGCACCACGGCGTCTCCATCTCCGTCGGCAACGACGACGACACCGCCACCGCCGCCGCGCCCCTCCCCCCAGCCTTCCCCCGCACCCACCACCGCGCCCCCCAAGTTGTTGTCGTACACAGACACCAAGTTTGACTGGTTGGACATTCGCAACTGGCAAGGGGACAACGAGATTTCTGCGACATCGTTCGCAACGAGTGCGTTCAAACCGGACCGCATCCACGTGTCAACATTTGGCCGGCCGTTCGAAAAGTCGCCCGTGCTTCGCACGACCCCAGGGTGGAAAGGCAACCGCGCGCTGTTGATTGAATGGACATCGTACGCTGGGTCGGACACCAACATCTGGCTACTCCCGACCTCCCTCACAAGTCAATTCCACACAACAGCATGGCCAAAGTGTGGCGAGTACGACATCTTTGAAATGTTCAATGGGGACGCTGCGATTGGACACAAAGGCACGACCAACTTGTGGTTCAACGGGGGCCTCGAAGGGTTTGGCCAGTCCACGCTGCACATGTCGACGACGAAATGCTTTGCCCCATTTTACCCGAATGGAATGAACCGACCGAGCTCGACCAGCCAGTCGGCTCAGTGGCACACGGCGTACGGCGCCAAGAATGCGATGGCGGTGGTGTTTGGCACGGACGGTAATGGCAAGTTCATCCAGCAAATACAAAACCCCAAGATTGTGCTTGGACCGAACAGCACCGTGGACATTGAAACGGATGGAGCTAACGCCGCGGCCAAAATCTACACCAACGACAACCTGTACTGGGGTGTCAAGCCCGTCGGTGGATGCGCCGACGGCTACGACGGCGGCAGCCCTGGGTTCCCCTTCATGACGGATGACTTTCGCCTGATTTTGCAAGAGCAGTACCAAGGCACGTTCGACGTGACCAACTTTAAAGTGTTTGTAAAGAATTAAAAGCTGTGACGTGCGCCAAGGCATGATACAGTATGTACATATGTCGTCCCTGAAGGTTGATTGACCTTGCGATGTCTTGTGATGCGTACGTGACGACTGTGTATGCATATGTACCTTGGTGAAGCTAGCCAAGATCAATTCGAATGCTGCATACAGTAGCTGATGGACTAGTCGTCATGACAGTGTGCATTGTCGACTTCGACGGCACTCTCCAAGCCCCGACCCAGCACTTGCCCATGCGGATGGAATGATCACATGCGTACGGTGATACCGCCTTTAGTGTCTTCGTTGTTCAATGTTCTGGGCAGAGACACATTGCATCATGTCCCGTGCAGGGTGGTGATGAATCTAGTGATGGCCGCGGCGGTTACTTGACTGCGCCACAGATCCACTGCAAGTGTGTTCTTCGTGAGTAACCGGATAGGCCAATCAACGGACGCCCGTCAAAGATTCAGCCAATGGGATTGTGCTATTGCAACCGTATACAAATCGCAAGTGACTGAGTCGAGCTATTCTTAGGTATACAAACTTCCATAGGTGCTTTGAGGGGTTTCAATTTCACTTCCCGTTTGTATGATCGCATTTCATTTCGCGTTTTCACGGCTGCATTCGGTACGATGGCGACGTCTTCGCGACGACAGGCCACGGTTCGTGGTAATGACTGTGCAATGAACGTAGGTGCCTCCTCCTTCAACATGGCCCGCAATGAGAACCCGTTCGACATGCAGATCAAGCTCCTCATGATTGGGGACAGCGGTACGAAGATGTGACTGGGCATATTGCTTCCCTGCTCCCTCTCATGCGTGTGCGGGGTTGCGGTCGTCTGTGTAGGGGTCGGGAAGACGTGTTTGCTGCTGCGATATGCAAACGATTCGTTCTCGCCGACGTTTATTACGACGATCGGGATTGATTTCAAGGTCAAGAACATCGACTTGGACGGCAAGAAGATCAAGCTACAGGTAGACGTAATACCTATTGACGCCCCTCCAACGAGCATGGAGTCATGCAACCGTGTGGAAATGATGCACGGTGTACGTAGATTTGGGACACGGCGGGACAAGAACGTTTTCGAACCATCACGACGTCGTACTTTCGCGGAGCGCAGGGAATTTTGCTTGTGTACGACGTGACCGACCGCGCATCGTTCAACAGCATCCGCAACTGGGTCGGCCAGATCCAGCAGCATGCAGACGTGCATGTGAACAAGATCTTGGTCGGGAACAAGTGCGACATGTTGGACGACAAAGTCGTGAGCACAGAAGAAGGCCAGGCGCTGGCGGACGAGTACGGCATCAAGTTTTTCGAGACGAGCGCAAAAAACAACATCAACGTCGAAGGGGGCTTCATTGAGATCGCGAACGAAGTGAAGACGCGTCTAATGGAGGAAGGCGGCCCGCACAAAAAGAACGACTTGGTCGTGAACTTGGGCAAGAAGGGCAGCAACGACCCCACGAAGGCAGGCAATGGTGGAAAAGGCGGATGCTGCTGAACGCGTTTATATCTATTAGGCATCACTCATAACCCCTTGACACACTGTTCCTTTTCATTGACACATATTACCCTATAACGTTCTACTGATAAGTCATCCCGACGACTTGTCCGTGAACACGCGGACGGCGTTGTCCTTGGACGCCGTCACGACCGTCGCACCGTCGTAGGCGAAGTGCGCCGCAAACACTTGGTCCTCATGTCCACGTAGAACCTGCAAGCATTCCCCTGTCTGTGCATGCCACACGCGGGAAGTGTGGTCGGCACCGGCGCTCACCAGGCGGCCGCCCTGCCGCGAAAATGCCACTTGCATGACCTGGAATTTCCGTTGATTTATACGGATATATCGAAATAGTGATATATATAGATATATATTATACCTCGCCCGAGTGCCCAAGGCAGTGACTTCGCCGTTTCGCCGTCAAAGTATCGTACACGAAGATGTGTCCGTCGACACCGGCGGTGGCCATGAGAGAACCCGTCGAGTTAAAGCATGCGTCCGTCACTTCCCCAACGTGGTCGCCGAGCACGAAGAGAGGTTTCCCAGACTGTACGTCCCATACCTACGTGGTAGACGTCGTGAGTTCTCGTGCAAGGATGGAGAGTACGTCGGGTGTACTTTGGCCGTGCCGTCGGTGGAACTTGTGAGTAGGAGATTGCTCTGGTGGTTGAACGCAACTGTGCTCACATCTGCCGTATGTGCATGCAGCGAGCGAAAGCATTCCCCATATCGGGCGTCCCACAACCTTACCGTTGAGTCGCACGATCCTAGTCTCATGAATGAAATACGATTCAATTTCCATTTTCACACACGAGCAGCAACCAAAGGCGATTACAACCTGAACGTACCCGTAGCCATGAACGACGACGACTTGGACCCGTCAAACGCAAAGCACGCCACTTCAGCGGCATGGCCCGTGAGGTCGAACTCGGCCTTGCCCGTCTCAACGTCCCACACAGTTGCTGTGCAATCCATGGAGCAACTTCCTACTCGACTGCCAGACGCATTGAAGCCCACGGACACCACTTCGCCTTCATGTCCTAGAACGCTCTTGAGAAAACCTACCTAGTGACGACGACGGTGGATGTTCCTACCAGTCAGGACTTGCTTGCACGTGCCCGTGGTGGTGTCCCATACTCGACATGTCTTGTCAAACGACCCGGTCACCGCCAGCGAACTGTACGGCGTGTTGAGCGCCACGCAGTACACGACGCCTTCGTGCCCGCGGAGCACCACCTTGTCCTCTTGACCCTGGAGCCGAATCAACTTTGCGGTCTTGTCGTAGCTGGCCGTGGCCACCAAGGTGCCGTGCTTTGAGATGGCGACGTTCGTCAGAGGCTGCATGTGGGCCTTGATGGTCCTAGCCAATGCGTATTCCATGTCCTGGGCGAGGCATTGCTTGTCGATGAGGCCATGGAGGATGTCGTACAACCGATGAATGTGAGCTTTCGTCAGCAGCGATTCCTTCTCAATGAGCTGACTTACGAGCAACCTTACGTTGGTTTCAGGGCCAAGACTCACGAGATCGATCGACTTGTGATGACATGTCCCGTTGGATTGCCGACACGACAGACGCAACCCCGGCGGGTAGTGCCGCACATAGATTTGCTGCAGCCGCATCAATCGACTGTACCACCGTTACATCCGTGGACTTTAGGAAAGCGAAACTGCCATTTGCCAGCCACAATACATTCATTCTTTAAAATGATTATTCTACAAAACGTGTTAATATTGTGGCATTTGTCCTGTCGTATTGTATGCATTTTAATTCGAATATTGCAAAAAGTTTGCAAGAAATAGATGAATGGTCTCATTAAATAAGCTCACCACGTCCCGGTATCCGGATAAGTTGACGGTTACACGATCCCGCCATTATGAAGGTTATTTCTGGCGTGGGTTGGTTTCGCAGCACTCTCAACTTTGACCCTTGGTGTGGCGTCTCGCCGAGGTTACCAAGATGCCGTCCGACACCCCGCTGCATAAAGCTGCGCACAATGGCGACAAGGGCGCGGTTCTGCAGATCTTAGAAGACCCGTCCATGGATGTGAATGCGCCAGGCGCTGCCGACCGCCGCCCGCTGCATCGCGCAGCCGGGGGCAACCATGCCGAGTTATGTTCCATACTCATAGAGCGCGGCGCCGAAGTCAACTGCGTACGCTATGATCGCGCCCATCATCCTATTCTAACCTCGTCATCGCTAATCGATCATGTAGCCCGACAAGAGTGGTCGAACGCCGCTGCATTGGGCATGTATAAGCGGACACAAGGAAGCAGCGATCGTGCTACTGGAAAAAGGCGCTCAAGTGAACGCCGTGACCACGAGCGGCATGACGAGTCTCATGGGTGCGGCGGAGGCAGGCAAGTCGGACGTGGTGCGGCTGTTGATGGAGCGGAAGGCAGACTCGACGCTCAAGGACAAGGACGGCAAGCTCGCGTTCGACCTGGCCATGGCCGGCAAGCACAACGCCGTGGTCAAGGCGATGAAGGAGCTGGGCGACCCCGCGGCGCAGAGTGCTTCGTGTGTGATTCAATAGCACCCAACTACCACCAACCTCCTCCTCACCCACTGTAGTAGTCGTACTAACCCCAATCAATCTTTATTCCCAAGTCGGTATATACTACTATGTACTACTACTAGTTGTGATTTTACATCCCTACATATCCCGCTGGTGCACGAGCTTGCCCTTGACACTGAGCTTGGACGAGTTGCGCGAGCGTCGGCTGCTGCCCTTTTGCTGCTGCTTGGTCAGCGTTTTCTTTACTTGCTTGCGGACATGTTCATTGGGCACTTGCGGTGTCGCAGTGAGCGTCACATCCTCGTCGTCGTCGTCGTCGCTTTCACTCGTTTCGTCGTGTGCAAGAACTGTTGGGTCGTTGGTTCTGCTTGTCAAGGCATCGATCCGCTCTTGCAGTTCCTTGGCCAACGTCGGGTCGATCTCTTCGTCACTATTGTCACCATCTCCTTGGTCACTATTTTCGTCATCACGTTCGTCTTCCTCGCCAATATTGTCCAGCACTACTTGGTCCAATTCCAGCGCCATGTCTTCTGTGTACCCACTCGCCTGCACTTGCGTGTCCAAGCTCACAGTGAGATCGCGCACGATGTCGTCCAGTTGCGGCACTTCGTCTGGCATGTACGCGCCGTTCTGGAGCCGTGAAAAGAACTTGACTAGGCCGTTTACATCGCGATTGAATAACCTGCATCGAATAATTATATATATATATATATGATGGCCAAATCAAATATAAAAAAATGAGTTTTCAGTGTACGGACTCTTGGGCGTTGAGATGCTTGGTCGAGATCATTTGCGGAAAGTCGATGATTGTGATCTTGCCGTCGCCGTTCATCATGATATTGAACTCGTTAAAGTCACAATGCACCAACCCGCATTCCGCCAGTCGGACCAAAATATTCATACACGCGTCATAGGCGTCCTAGAAAATATATTTATATATAGGCTTGATATTGATATTACGCTGTAAAGTTAAAATCACTTTATATATAGGCTTGAATAGCACTAAAAATGAAATAGAAGCGAGGCTTCAATACCTTGGCATTTTGCATTTGACGAAACGCATTCAAGGGGTACCCGTGGACCAGACTCATGACGATCGCATGGCGGTTGTGGTCGATGGGCGTCGGGGTCGGAAACTCGCGTTCGTATAGGGCCTGCCGAGACGACATAAAAATATGATATATATATCCTAAAAACACGAAATATGAAAAATATTGACGTACACTCATAAATGCAAATTCTTTCGTGGCCGACAACTTGGACATGTAAAACCAATTCACGTGCTTGCGGTGCTTGAGGTAATCGCGTTTCTACCACCGATAGATTAGAGCTACGTATGTAAATATATATATATATACATTCTTCACGGCGCGGAACGATGTTCGACCCAGTCGATGGAACTTGATGGCGACTTCCGTGCCGTCGGGTTGCACCGCCATGTAAATGTCCGACTCTTTGCCGACCCCGATCTGTCGCCCAAGGCCGGCGATGTGGCCGTGCTTCATGAACACTTTGAGCGCGAGAAAGTCGTAACCCATGTACGTGAGCTTGAAGCCGTCGTACGTAGTTCCGTCGTGTGCAATGAGTTTGTTGCGTAGCAAGTGACTGAGGATCTTGGCCACGCCGCCGTGGCGGAGCTTGGCAATGGATGAGATGAGCTCCACGGGCACGATTTCGTGGTTCTTCATGCCCAGTTCGACGGCCGTGAGCACCTTGAAGTGCTCCTTCGTCAGGTACCGCATGCCAGACACATCGAGTTTCATCGTTCGTCGACGCTTTTTGAACTTTGCACATGGCTATCCCAGCCAATCATTCTCGACTTCTGATTGGTCGAATCTACCATCCAGAGTTCATATGATTGGCCATTTGTACGCGAATCAAACATCGTGATTTTAATGATTACATTGGATTGGTTGAAATATAAGCCAATGGTATTTCGTTGTTCAATCCACAAAATATCATACAACCATACTATTAATAGTACTAGTATGGCACAGCGCGATCCGGCGGCGGCGATCTCCATGCACCTCGGCGTCAAGAAGAGGAAGCACAATGATACATCCAAGAGAACTACCAGTGGCGAGCTGGCGTCATCGTTGGCTCCTTGCTTCCTCTCCCAGTCGCAGCTTGAAGGCATGTCCGACTACGATTACGCCGATATGGACCATAATGCTTTCTCTCCGTCACCCCAAGTTATGACGTTGGAGGATACGATTCTCAAGGTCAAAAGACTGCAGGCCGAAGGCAACACCCTCGCTGAAGCAGGTAGCATCTCCGTGCATATTCATGCCTGACGACTTCATTCCGCAGGCCTGTTCCAGGCGGCCATCGCGCGATGGCAACACGGACTCGACATCGACCCTACGAACGGCACGTTGTACGAGCTGCAGGCGCAAGCGTACCTTGCGTCCAACGACGTCTTCCGCAGCATTCAGGCAGGTTGATCTGGTCGTGGCGAATCGTAAAGTGCCACATAGGCCGCGTCGAGGGCCACAGAGCTATGTCCTGAGTGGAGCGATGCGTTCGCGACGTTGGCCCATTGCCAGTTCAACTTTGGCGAGTTGGAGCTAGCCCACGCCGCGTTGTCACAGGTAGAGAATCAATTGACGATGCTGACCTGTGACGGTGTTTTGGGCAGGCGTTGCTGCTGGAAACCGACGCTGGCCAACAACTCGAATGGCAAGTCGAACTGGACGAGATGGTGGCCTTGCTAGCAGAACAAGCCCGTCGCGTCGCCGCGGCTTGTACGGTCACGACACCATCATCATCCCCAGACCAAGACCAAGTGCGCACGTGCAAAGCCAATCTATGTCGACGGAGCGTGCACTGGTCCTAACGATACTACAGTACTAGTATCTATGCCAGTACATTAATATACTGACTGGTATTGTCCATTTTCGTCAAATTTCCCAATTTTGCCACAATCGAGCACAAATAGAGCCGAGACATTTGATTGGCCAATATCCACTTTGCCCTTGAACCTCGAAAATGGATTGTAGCCAATCAGCGACTAGCAATTTCGGATTGACCAATGGGAGAGATTGGTTGGTGCTCGATTCGCTTGGCGAAATAATTCATACCGAACCTCCAATATACACACTCCAGTACAGTGACTACAGGACGGGGGTACATTATATTGTGTGGGTCTATTTCTACATGAAAATCTCTATCTGTCTATATGGTGGTGGCGGCTAGCATCTACTCGTCGTCGCTGAGCGATGACGCCGTACCCTCCTCTTTCGGTGGCAGCCCATCCATGGGGTGGAGTTGCTGCTGGTCTCGTTCAATGGCGGGTTTGGTCGGTGGACTACCGCTAGTACTAGTAGTAGTAGTAGTAGTAGTCGCGTCGGAATATGCAATGTGGAGCTGCTGGTCGTTGTTATGTACGACCCACGCGGCCGTCGGCGGCTTGGACTGTGTCGCATGGACGACCTCGAACTCGTCCCCTGACCGCCAAGTGACGAGTCCGTCGGTCGTGGGCAGTGGCTCAAGTTTGCTGGCGACGGCGGCAGCCTCGTCATCGCCATCTTGGCTTCCCCCCATGTCACACACGTGGCCTTTCTTGGGCACGCGGCACTTGCGGCACAAATATCTCTTCTTGCTGCTCGTGGGGGCATTCTTTTTCACGGGAATGGGTCGGGGGGTGGTGGTGGTGGAAGGAGGGGGGGACGTCGCGGCTTGCTCGGGCAGGTCTGGACCAATGGCATCGCAGTAGCTCTCGTCGTCGTCGTCGTCGTCGGTACTTGCATCATCATCGTGTTGTTCCATGTCGGTCACTTCAAGCTCGTCGATTTGCTGGGCGTTGAGCAGACACAACGCATGGGCGGCTTCCTTGATAACCGCCGCGTCTGCCGCCTTGCTGGTGGCCTTTTTCACGCGTTTCATCGGGGGGTTCTTTCCCGTCCGCCCCGTCGACAGCTGCCGCTTGAGCTGTTGCTTGGACATGGGACTCAGGTGCGCCAGTTCGTCCGACGGCAGCACCACATCCGGTGACACTGGGTACGGCAGTTGGTCTGGACACGTGGCCACCGCCGGCACATCATCCGGCGGGAGGCGACTGCGAGACAGCGACGACAGCAGTTGATGCGGCAACGACGGAAGGGTGTGAGGGGGTTGTTGATGCTGGAGGTCCTCGCCGTCATGGTGGTGGTTGCCGTTGCTCAGTAATGACTGCGTGGGGGACGTGGGATGGCCGAACGACTGCATGTACGTGATGTCCGACGACGACCGCGGCTCGCCTGAGATCTTTTGCAGCTTGAGCAGGTACTTTTGCGCGTGGGTGCGCACTTGGGTCACGGTGCGACTCCGCACGACCATCTGCACGCGCTTCCACTTGTGGCCGTGCTGGCGGAACCCGCTGAGGAAGCGCTCATGCTCCTCGGACGTCCAGCGTCCGCCCCGCAGTGCCGCGCCAGTCGCGGACGACACGGCGCCCTCCTCGACGTCGTCGCCGCTCTCGTCGTCGTCGTCGTCGTCTTCGTCGTTTAACGGATGGACCAACGGCGCGGGCGCCAGCGGCAACTTGCGCGCGTGGCCATTCACGACAGAAGGAGTGGACGGTGCGATGGGTGTTTGGTGAAACGAAGGACTGATGTCCACGTGCTTCTTCTTGATCTTCAACTTGAGGGAGGAGCGACCACCAGTCGACAGGTCGTCGCTACCCAATGGAGCGATGGGCGTGGGTCGAGTGCCCACGCCATGAAGGGATGGACCTTTCTTGTCCATCGACGACGACGACGATCCAGCCATCGAGTACGCTTGCAACGAAGGCAGACTACTGTTACTCAACCCCACGGGCGACGCACTGACATCGTGGTCCGCGCTCCGGTTCAAGATGGTCGCAAACCCGAATGCAGTCTTGCCGCGCCACGGATGTTCCTACAAATCACCTCACTGAGCAACGTGCTGTCGTCTGGTACCTCATTTCTTGATGATTTGTGTTACCTCGTGATGCTGGTGGGCGACCAGTTGGTGGTAGTACCCGCTGGCGGACGACGATGGATCGTTGACATCCCTGCTGCTGCTGTACGTTCCTACTCGTACATCCTGGACGTCGTGGCCAACGTGTTGCTGCTGTTGTTCCCACGTAGTCGTCGTTGCGACTTCCATGTGGTCCATATACTATGTTACGAAAGGATGATCTCTATCTCGGACGGCTTGACGCAGTCTCGTTCAGTCTTGGCCAAGAGTGTACGATCTACGTAGGAGGTGGCATCTATCATCAGCATACACGGCAGTGTCGCGGCGGCGTCGGCTCACCTTGGATCTCTCGCGCTTCGTTGCCTGAGATGGCTTGAAAGTTTTGCAAACTGCTGTCTCTTTTATTATTAGAATGATGTAGACTTCTTACTGGCTTTTAAAAATACGCGCGGGCTTTCTATCCAATGTAAGCTTGTACATCGTACATTTATGCCATACATAATCCAAGTCACTCTGTACTGTACGATGTACCCGTTTTCGTACGCTCGTACGTACGGATATTTTAATTCCCATCCATGATACGTTTGGAGTTAGATCTTGGTTGATAGGCCACGTTCAGGTCAAAAAAGCGATCCAAATCGCCAGGTGGCATTCGCCCCATACAAAGTTCAAGTTGTTTTTTATCCGATCCCCGACCCCTAAACGTATTTTTAATAACATCCTCACCACTCAACGTAAACGGACCAATCACCGACGTGGAAAGATCCGTTTTTAACGCCAGGATCGGTTTCCCGCGCTTTTGATTGGCTGTCGATACCATGGTCGTGGTTCATTGGTCGTTCAGACAACTGTGACTCACAGTGTAATGTCGTCCTGACTTGATGTTTGTATGGTGCCATTGACGTCCGAAGATACTTTCCTACAGTACGCAAGGCGACGACGACTGATGGCACTCGACGCCTTCAAGTCAGCATTTAACGTTATATATCGATGAACGTCGTGCAAAAGTACAAGGAGCCTCCAACTGGACGGCTCCATTCACTAGAGATTGGGATGGGCGGCGTAGGAGATGCATGATTACGGGGGAGACGTAGATGGTGTCGAAGTGAGTGGAACGGGCAGTGGCACATCGACAGGTGGTGTGTCGCGCTTTGAAATGTTATAAACTTCGAATAGGATGAATACGACCTGGGGATTGGCTGCATCCCGATCTAATGCCGCACTTGGAGCTTCAACTTCGACGACCAACGCCTCCTGGCCAACCGCTACCCAACTATCCGGATGGACCCAGACCCGACCAGATACATACATACACTAAAGCTACTAGCGGCGAAAGAAGCCACTATTACTACGTATTAGCTGTAGTAATATTAATAGTAGTATTACGGACTACTAGTACGTACTAAGGAGTACTAGTAGTAAGTACTACGTAGTACTACATTTCAAGCAATACAGTAAAGACTCAATACAACGTGTGCATATCGACCTCCCTTTGTCTTTCAAACAGTCGGAACACCCTGTTCTGTTAGAGAACATTCCTACTGCCCCTGTGTAGGAGATGTTTGTGCCTTCTTTAGCGGCTTTTCCTCGGTAGAAGTCAGCGCAGACATTTGGTCACAATGGAACAACATAGGATGTCGTGGCCAATCATAGTCAGTTTTGATTGGCTGTTTTCTTTCCAGTCAGAAGGATTGGTAATTATTACTACGTATTAGTATTAATAATTCCCTTTTGAGTTTTTCCTTCTGCTGCCTACTACTAATATGGTATTACAGTAATAGCCTGCTCCTGACTACTGTTCGACTTTCGATGGGGATGATACGTCATTGATTGCCTCATCATCTGTGTTTTGTCCGAGGTTCGAGAAGAAAGAACCAAAAAGAAAACACTATTAATTACCTTGAAGTACAATTATAACTACACCGCGACACTTGACAAAACCGTTTCAAGCGTTTCATTTGAAACCGCCTTCCGCGATTCACACCACCATGAATGCCGTCGACGAGCCGTTTGCGTACGCTGAACTGACCGAAGCAGAGTCGGACGAAGCCCTCCAAAAAGCCCTGCAAAGCGTCCTCTTGAAGCGAAAGCAATACCAGATGAATGCGACCAAGCAACTGCAAAAAGAACTCGACGCTCAAGCCCGAAGCATTGAACGAGCAGTGTCCATGGCCAAAATCACCGGTGCACTCAACGAGTCCAATTCCCAAGCAGCCCCATCTTCATCCGCGACGTCGAACATGGCAATTCCCATGTTTGCGACGCCAAAATCAACCTTCCAAGACTTCCATCCGTACTCCAATAACCTCCCAACCCCCACCCCCACATTAGCCGTACCCGCAACAGCTACGTCAAGCGCGGTTGCTGTCCCATCAGGGCTAGATACGATATTGCCACCGCCATCAGCAGCCCTCACTGCCACTAATCCTATGAGTAGCACTTCGACCACTTCCACCACGTTTGTCGGGCTTGTAGTAGTCTCCACTGCGTTCAAGTACGTGCCTCCCCTCGCCGACAGCATGCTAGCGGCAGCGTCGTCCCTCCACACTGTGCTTTGCGATGTCTCTCTCGGCGGGTTCCTAAACCAAGCGACCAAACTGCTTGTGAATCCGTCGCTGGTCGAGTTTCTAACGGAACTCGCCACGTTCGAAACGGCCGTGGACCCCCAATCGACGTTCTTCATGCTCGTCGTTGTATGTGTCTTCTTGTTTTCAGGGTTTTTTAGTGTTGATAGTTCCCTCGCTCATTCGATAGACGCATGGCGCCCGGGTGGTCAACGAGCCGCATGTAGGCAGCTACCTCCTCTTTCCCGAGTCCCGCGTGTCGTCTGTGGATGAGCTTGTGCTCACGGCGCTCCACGAGCAACAGCTAGCCGCCGCCATCGATCGTACTACCCTCACCCCTTAGCTCTATGTCAACACTCCCTCCAACTATAGGAATTCCATCGCAGCGAAAACTGCTCGCATTTGACGTGTGCCACTTGCAAAGCATCCTCCCCCCCGTGACGACCAAGGAGGACGCTCCACCTCCTTCATCCATCAAAGGTCGCATCCACGAAGACTTCGCGCGCAAATTCCTCTCGCGGCTTCGCGAGTTGGAAACGCAGCGACAGGTGGCCCGCGCCAAAGCCGACCACATTCCACTCAAGTCGCTGCCGGCTACTCAAGTGCCCGTGCTGGTGCTCGAAGCTTGCAAAGCCCGGTCGCAGGTACAGTAGCCTACACATGAGAACCTTCCTTGTATAGTTTAGTTGGCGGGGTTTTATATTTCGTCCCATTAGATAGCGATCCACGAGAACGCCGGGTCTGGGAACGCGTTCTTCTTGCGTCGCTTTGTGGATGCGTTTCGAGGCGCGGCGGCGTCGCCCGGGCGTCGAGACGCGTTCAAAAACTGGACTGAAGACGATGCCAAGTTTCCGTTCGTTTATGCGCGGGATGTTGTGACGTACGTGGCCGCGGCGGTCCAGTTCGACGCGTACGTGGCATCCTCCCGTGCAAGGGACGCCATGGCAGCCAAAGACCTCTTGACCGTCCAATTCGAAGAAGCCGCGTCCGTACGGGACATGTCCCAAACGCCCCAGCTGCACTGCGACGTCCCGGGTCTCGACTTTCGACTCGGCAAAGTGCCCCGTATGACCTCGAGGATGTTTTTTATGTTTATAAAACGGGCGCCTAGAACCACCAATGAACACGCCGACGCCGCCCACGCTCATGTCAGCCTCGACCACGTCGCTCCAAGTCACGTGGACACTGCCCCCAGGGGACAATAGGACGCCCGTCTTGGGCTACCAACTCGAACGAAAAGGCGATGGCCCCGCCAGTGAGGTAGGGAGGTACCTAAATCCAAACAAACACATATATATATAAATACCTGTTGATGGAATCCACAATATGACTATATGGTGTGTTCACTCCTTGAATGAGTAGACGTGGACATTGGTGGCCACGAGACTGGTGCAGACGTACGAAGATGTCGTGCACAATGCAGTCGTTCCCCCCATGACACTGACTGCGACGGGACTCGCGTCGGACGCGGCGTTCCGCTTTCGAGTGCGCGCGAGGAATGCTGGCGGGTGGGGACGTTACAGCGCCCCAAGCACCCCGTTGCGGACGATGGCCGGTACTCCAAACTACGTCCATGTGAAAGCATGTTGGCATCGTATGAACGTGATCACCCCCTTGTTGTAGCGTCGACGTCGACTAGATTTGCCACAGATGTGCAGAGCAAGCGTACTCCACAGGACGTGGTGCAGTGGATGGCTACATACCCGACATTTGGCCAAGTCCAGCAACTCGGATGTCGGGCGTTGGCGCAGTGGGCTGTCGCAGCAACTACAAAGCAGTCCCACGGTACTAACTATTGAGATTTTCAAAACGAAAGTACCCTTGGTAGTTGATGGAAACGTGCCCCAAAACGAAAGTACCCTTGGTAGTTGATGGAAACGTGCCCCCTAGGTGACGACACCACGAGCGGGTTGGTCGGTGGCGGCGTGGACGCGGCGCTCCGTGCCATGAAAATGTACACCGAAGACGTGCAAGTGCAGGCGGCAGCCGCCTCTCTCCTTGGCGCGTTGGCTCAATATGGTCGGTTCGTTTACTATGCTCTACTATTAGTTGTATTCGATTCGTTGATTTACGAATAAGATCGGTAGACATCCAGGGGTGGACTCCAGCGCAGAAAGCCGGCGCCAAGATCCTACTAAACGACCTCTTCGCCAAGTTTTCGTATGCCGCGTTCCCGTCCGCACACACCACGGGCCTATGGGCGCTCCGCGTCATCACTGAGCCCCCCACGCGCCGCAAGATCGGACGCAACGAAGCCGCCATGAAGCTCCAAGGACTCTTCCGGCGGCGACAGGCGCGGCGGCTCCTGGCGGCCATGGCCACTGCCTTGTTCCCTCAAATTATCGACCCCGCTACGGGACTCGCCTACTACTACGACACGCGAACAGGCGCCGCGTCTTGGACCCCCCCAAGCCGCTTCCTCGTGTCATGATAGGGAAGGGCGTGAAAGGAAATCAACTTTCGAGGTATTTTCCTAGTCCAGCCTCCTTGGGCGAGGATATATAAACACCACAATGAGACCACGTGGACGACGAGTATGCAAGAAGTATCCCGGTACCGTGATCGCTAACGTCGAGTCCGGCCCTCGAAAGTCCAACTTCGCGTCTACTTGATACAAAGTTACACGTAGTAAGCTAACTATGTCCTATTAATAGTGTAGTGCTTTGTAAGATTAGTGTGAGCAATGTGAAATTAGTGTATTAGTGTAAGCAGTGTGTGACCGTTATGTCCTGACAAGGCTCTACAAGTTTATGTTGGCACTTCGTATACATCCTGAATCGTCGCTTGCATCAAACGAATCCAATCCCTGTGAGTACGTACTACAATAATATATATATATATCGTCAAATATCTCCACGGGTCGTTCCTTCGACCAACCATTTTTGTGGTGACTAATACTTTGTTATGGAGCCTCCTTTATTTTAAATTATCCTACAAAGCAATACAGTCCGTCCTACATCAACGCTTGCCGTTATATTTGGCGCGCTGCTGACTTCGCTTGATATGCTCGGCCTTTTTGCGGGCACGGATGCGTTCTTCGCGCTTGGCGGCGTTTGCCTTTTGCTCGCCCGTCTTCTGCTTGACGCCTTCCTTCTTGATAAACTTCTTCTCCTGTTTGGTCGCGCCGGTCTCGTCGTCGGAGAGGTCGCCCAGCGCCGCGTCATACTCTTCTTTGGTGATTTTGCCGCGCTTGAACTTTTTGAACAAGTGCTCTTCCTTCTCGAGCTCTTCCCACTCCTCGACGATCTGCTGGTGCATGCCCTTCTTCTTCTCCCGTCGGCGGGGCCCGTCCTCGTCCACCGCCGCCTTGCGCTTCTTGTCGAGCTGCTTCTTTTCAAACCGGTCGAGCTTTTCGGCTTTATGCTCGGCGGCAATCTCGACGAGCTTTTTCTGGCGCTGTTTTTCCCGGGCCTTGTCCTTGTACGGAATGTCCACAATCTTCACCCCCGACGGCGTAAATGCAATGTTGTCCAAGCAACGGAGCTCGTTGATCTTGGGCAGCTGGAGCAGCGCAAACCCCGTCGCGACCTTGGCCAAGTTTAAGTCGCGGAACCGAAAGATAAACTGGCACTGGTGCTCCTTGTACGACCGGACAAACGAAATGAACGCCTTTGTGCCCTTCTCCAGCACATCGCGGTCCGTCAGCTGCAGCGCCTTGACTTGGTCCAGTACATGCTCAGCCTCTTCCGTCGACACAGGCACCTGCATCTCTGTGAGCGGCACCTTGCGGATGTTCAGAAAGTTCACATACGCGTCCTCGTTTGACGACAGAAACGTGAGTGCCGAGCCGGACCGTCCGGCGCGGGCTGTGCGGCCCACGCGGTGGACAAAGAAGTTGGGGTCCTGCGGCGGATCGAACTGGATGATCCAGTCCACGTCGGGGAGGTCGATGCCCCGGGCGACGACGTCCGTGCACACAAGCAGCCCAGCCGGCGCATGGACAAACTCGTCGTAGTGCGCGATGCGCTTCTTGGGCTGCATCTTGCCGTGAAGTGTCACAACGTTATTCGAGTGTTTGGTCAAGTGCGCGAGCACGGCGCCGTAGAAATCCACGGATGCGCACGTGGAGAAGAACACAATGTGCTTCTCCGATGGCTTGTTCTGGACGAACTGGAGCAACGTGGCCAACTTGGCGTCGTACTCGACGGGCGTAAAGTAGTTGGTCAACGTCGACGGGGTCTTGGTGTTGGACGCGAGCTGGACAGACACGGTCGCGGGGTTGCGCAGTCCGGCGCGGGCCAGCGCTTTCACCTCCTGTGTTTGCGTGGCGGAAAACAGCCCCGTGCGCCGTTGCTTGGGAAGTTTCCCGAGAATGTTGTTGATGCTAATGTCAAAGCCCATGTCCAACAACGTATCGGCTTCGTCCAGAATCAGCACCTCAAACTCTTTCGTGTCCAAGATCGCCAGCTCCGCAATGCGGTTGAACATGTCTTCGATGCGGCCGGGCGTGCCCACGATGACGCTTACATAGCCCTTGGCCGCGCGGATCGCCGCCATGTCTTCGTCCACGGACGTCCCGCCCACGAACAAGAGCACGTGCACGTCTGGCAACACCCGGCTGAAGAAGAACACTGCTTGGTCGTAGATCTGGCGCGCCAACTCGCGCGTGGGCGACAGAAGCATGGCCATCAACTGGCTGTGCTTCTTGGTGGCAAGAACGTTAGCCACGTCGTCGTCCTGTGTCGCCAACAGCCGACGCCGAAGCATCTCGACGGTTGGGAGGACGAACGAGAGGGTCTTCCCACTGCCCGTGGATGCATCCACTGCCACATCCTTATTGGTCAGGAAGAGCGGCATCGTCGCAGACTGTACGGGCGTCATGTCTGTGAACCCAAGCTCCTCAATCCCAGCCAGCACTTCCGCGCATAGCGGCGGTTTGCACTCGGAAAACTTCATCTTGACGAACGCAAGATGGCAATTGATAGCACCAACCAATCACGCCAGTTTCGGACACCAATCAGCGATGCAATACTGTGAAAACCCATATCGGATGCAACAGGTTTATCCGGTTGGTGGTTGCACTCTTTCCGGATTCTTCGTCAGGACGACGGCGGCGCCACGATGACAGACCGACATGCCGAGAACTCGCAGCTGACGGACCTGCAGACGTATCGGTCGCAGACCATGAAGGACTACGGCCTCATGATCGAGTACAAGCACATGAAGCACCATGTGCCCAGCGGCATATACGTTTTGCCGAACTTTGACGAGCCGCGGGTGTGGCATGGTGTAATTTTCATCCACCAAGGACTGTACCGCAACGGCATCTTCAAATTCTCCATCAAGATCCCAGAACAGTGCGACCCAACATGTCCTTCTCCATCGTCGTTTCGTCCTGGTGATCTAATGCATGCTGTGCATCTAGATATAATGCCACTGGCACATACCCCAAGATCACGTTCTACTCGAAGGTGTTCCATCCCTATGTGTATCCCGAGGTACGTCAACTTCCCAACTAATCTCGCCGACATCACTTTGCCATGTAGTCGAACGATCTGGACTTGTTGCCCAAGTTTCCGACATGGGACCCCGACCTCCATTACATCGTGTCGGTGCTCGTGTACATGAAGAGCATATTCTACTCGAAGGAGTTCTCGCCAGACGTCCGACGGGTCGCCAACGGCAAAGCCCTCGATCTGTACGATCACACTCCATCTCCATATTCGCACACTCCCCGAGCTTCCTCACATGTCGTCTATAGATTCCGCCGACACCCCGAAGCGTATGTGGAGCAAGTGGACGCATGTGTCCAAGCCTCCCTCACAAATTTGTACCAAAATGAACCAGGATCGAGTCTTCGCTTTACGAAGCCTATTCCCGCGCATGAGACTCTACGCCAAGAGTTCCTGCAACAACTGGAGCCCTCTCCGTCCGCGTTTGCGCACGTATGAGCATTGGCATCATGTGTGATGAAGGATTCGTCATGGATCTACCGGTATGCGTGTTGTAGGAGAATCCATCAGCAGAGGAGCAGCGGGAGGAAACAGTGACGAACATGAACGATGTCGCGTTGGATGAGTTGGCAAACCAACAAGCAGATCGGCCCCCAGAGCGAGAAGTCATGGATGATCCCATGGAGTAGATAGCCCCAGGAACGCCAGCACACCATGGCCTTGTAAAGCATCATACATTCATTCAAGTGCCGGCGTCCTTCTTCTGCACAGCCGTTCTGAGATGCTTCTTCGTTTTGTTGGTGCCGAACAAGATTTGGTCAAAATAGTTTATTGGCAGAAATATATGGGTATTTTTTGATACCCACAAAGTAATTGAAGTGAAACTATTAATACACCTTTTTGCAGTTAAGTTGGACGAATGCCGGATGTATTTGGCCGTGCACCCGATATATTTGGTGGTGTGCCCGATATAATTAGCCATGTGCCCGTTTAATTTGGCACACCGAGGTCGTGTGCCCCGATATATTTGGCGGTGTGCCCGATATAATTAGCCGTGTGCCCAAGCAATTGGCCATCTGCCCGATGAATTGTGTCGTGTGCCCGATGAATTGTGTCGTGTGCCCGATGAAAATAGAATAACTCAAATTAAAAATTGAACTCAATTAAAAAATGCAGTCGAAATGATACACATAACATCCTCGTTTTGGCATCACATGCCAACTTCCATGTCGTCCATCGCCTCCGCGCGTCCGTAAAAGTATTGGAGGCGTAGCGCGTATCGATTCAAACGGTTAGCATCGACCCCTATTCAAACTTTTAAGAAATGCAATAATGCTGCGAAAGTTACCAACGATAACCTGTTCAGCAATTCGCTCGAGATATTGAATTCGGAATTCATCTCGAGTCAAACCATTCGGTGGTGGGCCCATGAACGCGGCTAGTGGCTCA